GCATTAGCTAGAATGAGTTCTTGAAGGTATTTTTGTTCAGCTCTTCAGTCAGCTAGTATGCTGCAGTGTTTCAATTCTATAGAAGAGAGTACGTACGTAGCTACGTTTATAAGACATTAAGTGATTGCTATTGAAATCTAGTATTTCATATGTGCTGGGGATTTTTCTGAATACTGTGGTCTGCCGTAATCCCGTTGAACACCGGCACACAAGGCAATAGCTGGCAATAAAGTAAGATAAGATAAGGAAGGATAGAGTTAACGAAAGTTTTGAGCAAACCCATCAGTAATAATTAAGACTAGAATCTCCCCCCCTTTTCCCACTTATTTCTGATTGGTTTGCTTGAAGCTTTCGTTATCTCTATCGTCCCTTATATCACTGTATTGCCTGATGATGAATTAATCAAAAACGTTCGTTCGCCTAAATTGACTTCCTGAATAACAAAAGTGTCGTCGATATAACGAGCCCAAAACTTTGATTGATACTTGAAGACCAGGTGTTCTATCTGTGGGAGGACCACTTCAGCACTCAGGCCTGATAGGGGCAGTCCATGGGAGTGCCTTTAATTTGTTCACACATTTGTCCATCAAATGTGAAGCAAGTTTTGATGCTGTCCTATAAGTTTAAGCAAATTTTCAGACTTCAGGGGTTTGTCGCTTTCGTTTTAGCATTCGGTTAGAAGTTGTCTCACAACATCAATTGCTAGCTGCTGAGGGATAGAGAGGAAGAATGATCAACATCGAAGGATACCATGGAATCATCTGGCTCTAACTTCAGATTTTTTATTCGTTCAAGGAACTGTTTAGTAGAAGATACGGTTGTTGTTGAGCCTACTGCCATAAACTTGAGATGAGTAAAACTCCATTGTGCCAAACCGTAGGTGGGTGTATCGCTGTAATTACCTCCGTTCCGCATCCTTTTTGGTTGCTCTTTCCTACATCTTGAAGACCCGATGACCTCTGATAATTGATTGATATATGACCTTTATAACTATCCTTAGTTTGGTTGCTGCTTCCTTATCTCTGAAGATAGACTCCTATAGGGGTTCGAAAGCTCAGGACAATAAACAGATGGATCCGGTACTCGACAAGACTTCTTCTTTATCTATGCAAATACCTGGACCGCGAACGTTTTCACTCATTCTAATGAAGGATCCGCGACGGATTTGGAAACGTCAGGCAAATAAAAATCTTGTCCTAGCAATCATATCTACGTCTTCTGAATTACGTCTTGGGAATCGCATGTTCACTTGTATTGGCAAATTGATTTACTTGGTCGAGTGCGTAGACAGCAGCTCGACATTATTAATCCAAAGCAGGTGTGCTCAAATGGCAATCGCATGCGTGCTAAGACATCAAGATAAACTATGACACTAACGGGCACTGTTCCAAAAAAGTTAACAAAAATTTCAGAAACAGGTAGGAGAAGGTTTCATAGTAGCCCATGGTAACTGGATGAAGGTGCATATCAATGACCCGGCGGCAGGACACGCTTCAGAAAATGTAGAACAGTCGATGGAACCACCAACTCTTCGTAGTAATGGTGAATCTACAACCCTGATGGAAATTCAGGGTTGATAAAACCAAAATTAAAAAAACACGCCAAAAAGGACAGCCCTGAGCACTGAACAGCTTTCACTCGCATTATGTCCATAATGCAGACCTTCTTCGAATAAAACTCTTGTTCCAGCGATCACGTATTCTGCTTCCCGATTATTTTGTTCCGAACTTACCAATATGCCAGCCTGTCAAGTTTTAAAGAAGCCCTGAACGCGAAGTAAGCTATGTAGCGATTAAGACTGATTCTGATTCCGATTTAGAATGCAATGACCCTTAATAAACGGTTCTCTTAGCCTCGAGCTCACCCAGGGAAATATAATAAGATAAAATATACGCTAAACTTATCGCTTATATTTCGCCCAAGACATTGCATGAGTTAGATCACCTAATGCATACTTCGATTTGCTGTTTAAAGCATTCTGAATTGGTGACGTCAGATGCAATGACTTGGGACGCGCGGCCTGTCGAGGTAATCCACCATGATAAACGCTTGTTTTGTGAGGAATAAATGACAGGCGAACTTGCGGAAGGGTGGTAATTGGCATAAATGGATCAAAAAGCCAATCAAATGGACAGGCCTGAATGTGAGCAAGCGACCGGCGGTGATGCCAAGAAACGTGTTTGAGAATTAGGATGCCCATTTATTTAGGCAGGTCGCCCATATCTTGTCCGAGCGTTGCCAACAAATGGAACACGGCAAACCCTGTCCTATGGTTTTCTCCGCTAAAACACTTCAACTACTTTTAGGTTAATTTTGAATTAATATTAACGCGAGTTTTTACGCACCATTTTTTGCACAAATTGTTATTTCGAAGAAATCATCATTTGACACTCGTTGACGAACGGAACGCTAACGGAACTCACTCATCCCGCTCTGCATTGGGTCTTATTTCTCGGACACTGACAACAGCCGCATAGCGGCTAGCAGTAGAGACAGCTCAATGGTTAGAGCGTACGACTTCTGACCAAAAGGTCGAGAGTTCGAACTTCGGGTGGTGCACCACTTGGGGTTGGGTATGACTGGCTGACAACGGCTAATAAGCCAGAAATAGCCATTCTAGTCTCTCTTGTCTTTGTCAGCAATACTATCTAGTTTAGATTTTGCACCACTTCTGAACTTCGAGTCCACAGGGTGCTTCGGCTCTGCCGTGCATTCTCGATAAGGGGAACAAATTAATAGGTCGAACATTTTCACTACAGTGTGGGAAATTATCCCAATTAATGTGCATCAAAATCTGACCGTAGTAAACTCCAATTTTATCCTTTCCATCTTCATTAGTAGTTTTCAATCAAAACGGAGTAGACTTTGCATGTTAAACCCTACATGGGTTATTTTGAATCGTTGCATATACCTTTTCTGTTTGCTTCATAACACTTTAATATAGATCACAGAAAAAGCATACTTTTCAAATCTGGGCACGCTGTGACGTGAGGCTTTGTTGACGGATATTGTTCGGTCGATCAAATATACTTAAAGTTTTTGGAAGAACGTGCTGGATTCTCCGGTGTGGGGGGCCAAACTCTCAGAGCATTGGAAGGTTTATACTTCGAATTTGCTGTTATTGCATTTACAATGCAATATACTGCGTGCGTAAATGTATAGTAAAATTAAATGCAATAATTCTCTTACGGATATACACCTGTCTTAACCGAGGATTCTTGCTTGTGATAGATAACAATTACAAAGCATACCGAACCAATTAAATTTCAGCGAGCTTATCGTTAGCGTTCTCTCAGCTGTCCTTGTAGTTGCCCAGGTCTGACTGCGCCCATACTTGGATAGCACCCAAGCAAGCATGAACTGGTTGTGCGACAAGGGGACGAATTATCACAACTGGCTGCCTAAATCTTTGCATCGGGCCACGAGATTAACGTCCTAGCAACAAGGATAATCTCTCATACCACAAACAAGGCAGGCCTAAAATTGATTGAAGCCTCAGCCTCGAATGCGAACTGACTCGATCAATGTATCGATTGGTTGCCCGGGTCCAGAGCCCTGCGCGTTCCCCGTCAGACTTGCGACACTGATCGTTAATTAGTTCTATAGAGGCTTCTAAAGTTCCATTTGGGGTGATTAACTCCAAGTTAATACTTAGTTTGTGAGGCAATTAAAAATTTACAAGCTCAAAACTGGATTGTCAATCAGAAAGCACACGAAGAAGGCTGGGAGACTCCTGGATGGCGGGACCTGTCGCAGCCGTGTCATGCAACGGCAGAATATTGGAGAAACACTTGTCTGGGTATAAAGCTCGTGCCTGTGCTGTCCGTATAGTGTATCGGCTAACTCCTATGCAAATGACAGGCTGCCTACCAATAGTTACATATATATTATGTGATGATCCCGCTGTTGCTAATAGAAATCAGCCCAAGAAATCTCATTACCTTTCAGTCAGCGCATCTAAAACCTAATATAGACAGTATCCTTCCAAGTTAATTATTAACTCCCGAGAAAATTAACCATCAACAAGAGCAGAATGTATTTTTGCAAAACAAAAACAGTAATTCAGGCATATTTTCCGGCAGTCTTAATATTCATTTGTTTCTATTGTGTGCCAGCAATGTGTAAACCCCTTTAAGGTGCATGTCATATTGGTTGAGGAAAACGCACAATGCATACTTCTGAGGCACCAGCTGTGTACTTTGATATACGACCGCATGAGTGAGCATGCGAGTTTGCCATAAATTCTCACATGAAATTGGCAGTTAATCTTTTATCGTTAGGTAGGATAGTTTTTGTTGACTTCTACAGGGCACTATCTGCTGACTCATCCTATCGAAGAAACTCGCTCGGGTCTATTGAAGCCTGTAGCTTTATCGAAACTATTCGCACTGACAAATTAGTGAAAAGCAAGAAAACATTTAAAAAACACTAATCCAGGTTGAATTTTTGATTACTCACAGTGATGGGATCTTCGTCCTCGCCCAGTGCAGGAACGAGGGCGGGCATGGACTGTACTGCGCAATTCGCTATTGCATAGGCCTTTCTCATTATGCTGGCATTGTGCTATTGCAGATGAAAAATCGATAGGCCATGAAAGTAAAATCTGCGTTTTTAAAAGAAACGTCAAAACGATTGGCAGTTTGCAGGCATGGCTACACTAACCTTGAAGTAGAAAAAATCGTCGTACCGACGAAGCACATATAGTACGCGCCAGAATTCGTGCAACATGTCGACCTTTGCGAAAGACTGATAATCTTTCATTACTCGGCACTGACTCAGGTTGTGATACTGATTATCGTATTGCCTATTCTGAAGTTATTTCAGTCATGATAGGAAGCGGGCCTTTTAACGGGCTTCGTTTTTACCACTAACAAAGGGTATGCACTGCAAAAAAGTGGCTACTTAGGTAGTATGCATTCTTATAATTGATTTTGACTGCCTTAATAAATGCAAATATATTTTATGCAAAACATGCACGAAAAAATTATTTCTTGTGCTCCTTTAGTAGCAAATTACGCCTTCATTAAATTTTATACTTAAAGAAAGTGTATGTTTCTAAGTTGCCGAATAATTTTGAAACTGAATGAATGAGAACGTTCGAGTTCCAGGTATTTGCATGTTTGAAGAAGAAGGAATGAAACCTACTGACTGTTACACTCGAAGCCAAGGTTTATGAACTGCGCACTGTGTAAATTCTCTTTAAGGAAAAGTACGTTGTTGCCTAGAGTTTGAGAAAGAAGTCAGGTAGTTCTCATAAAATGTTGCAAGAGATGTGGAGCATGCTTTAGACAGCAAAGGCAGCATTAATAATTTGACGGACACGATGTATTATGAATGGACGCCTCACAATCGTAGAAAAGCTCATAATTAGAAATTTTTCTAAAACCGAAGGATATCCTCCCTTAAGTATAAAATTTAAAGAAGGCATAATTTTCTACCAAAGGAGTACAAGAAATGATTTTTTCGTTTGCGTTTTACATAAAATATATTTGAATTTATAAAAGCAGTCAAAATCAATGATAAAAACGCACACTGTTTAAGTAGTTACTTCTTACAGTGCATACGTTTTGTTAGTGGACAGAACGAAGCTCATTACAAAGTCCGCTTCCTATCATGACTGAAATAACTTCAGAATAGGCTACATGATAATCAGTATCACAACATGACGATTAGCGAAAAGGTATCAATCTTTCGCATGTGTTGGCATGTTGCACGAATTCCGGCGCATACTGTAGTGTTCTATAGGTTTTATAGTAGATTCCTTACCTCATGAAAAGTCAACCGAAACTTGTTTTGGTTTTGAACAACTGACTTAAGTAGGCTCGTAATATGTATTACCTTACAACCTGATCCCAAGATATTTCAGTCGCGTAAGAATGCCGGCTCTTGAATGTGTTTTTTTCTGACCATCTACAAAAAGCATTCTCTATAAAACATTTTCTCGTGGATTTTCGATGACCTTATGAATTCAAATATATGTTTTATAGAAAAGTTTTCAACATGTATTCTGTCTCGTTCCCATAAAATTTATACTTGGGGAAAGGGTAGCTTGCGGTTTAAGAAACTTTCTAAACTGCCGAATCCTTTGAACCCTACAGGCCAGTACACTTGAATTCAATTTTTCCAAATTACATACTTTCTAACGAAAATCACACATTCTTATACGCTATGAAGAGGTCGCATACGTTTTATAAATGTTCGCAATGGATGTAGACCGCTTCGTATACTTTCTAGGCAACCTTTATGAATGTTAGCACGCGATAAACTACGCGGTTTTCAAAAATGCCATGGTTACAACACTTTTTAAAATTGAAGGATTCCTTTCTTTAAGTATCATATTTGTAGAAGACTTCAATTGCTATCAAAGGAGTAGGAATTGTGTTCTTCAGCTTTTCTAGAGAATATGTTTGAATTTGGGAAGGCAATAAAATCAGTAAGAAAAATGCAAGCTACTTAAGTAGCAATTCTTTTATAGAGTTTGATTCTTGTCGGCCGTCAGAAAGAAGCTCATTCGAAGCCGGCGTCCAGTCCTAACCGAAGTAACTTAAGATTAAGCTACACAATAGTCGAAATTACAAACATACCTAACTTGCTTGTTCGAATCGAAAACCCATTTCGGAATTTTACTTTACATTTCACGAGGTAAGTAATCTACTGTAACTGCTTGCTCATCTAGCTCACTTAGGGCTTATCGCAAACGCCTGGAGGATCTAAAGTGGGCTTTTTGTTTGTCTTTTCAGATAGCTGGCTTATTTTAGACTAAGCAGGGGAATTTCGGACACAAAACACCACCGCAACTCACTTGAATTAGTGGTACGTAGCCTTCCTTTAGGCGCTCTTCTAGAGCCTCGATGAGCTTTGAAGAGGGGACAACACTGATCCACAGGTTCCACTTTACTGACGTAACCTGAAGGCAAATGAGAAGGACTCCGGGCGGGGCAACGCACAGGGCCTCCATTCGACCCATCAGATGGGCCAGTTTGCTCGCAGGTGTCCGAAAGGGGTCATTATTGTAGAGAAAGACAAACCTGTTCAACAAGAGAGAGAGCAGTAAAATCTGGGAGGCAGGTAAGCCACTTACTTTCAAAATTATCATATACGCAGGCATGGTAATGACCGAAAAATCAAGGAGCCCGTGCTGCCGTGGTAGCGTTTTGAACTCAATGACCAAAGGTCCCGGGTTCAAATCTCGGAGGTTCCAACCCTTGAG